ATTGTGAAACTTCCCAGTGTAACCACAGGTTGAGAGTCTTGTCTCTGCAGGACTCTCAGCTGCTCTCCTGGTCCTCACTCAGGTCACCTCCATGCTGGTATGGGTGGGGTGGGGGGCCCTTCCTGAACCCCTGAGGCCTCTCCGGCAGGGACTGCCCACTTGGCCCCTGCGTTTATGACCCTGTAACAGTCCAGCTGCACAGCTCCCAATCTTAAAATACTAAGTTGGCGTGGGGCAGCAGGCTCTTCCCACCCCTGAAACTGTCTTCCTGGGAAGGGAGGCCAACTACTGTGACCCAGAGCCCCCCCCCCCCCCCCGGGCACCAGGAGAGGGGCAAGACTTGAGCTGATTGGTTCATTTGGGAAGGAAGGCTGGGCACACCCACCCACAGAGCCATGTCTCAGCCATGCCTGCCACCAGTCTCCAAAGCCTCTAAGGGAAGGCTGCCCCCACACTGCCTGCAGCGGGGCCTTAAANTGAGTGACTTCCGCGATTTGTTCACATCTACGAATGTTCGTAATGCGAGGTCCGTTCGTATCTGTGAAAGTTCACAACTCAAATGTTCTTAAGTCTGGGACTTACTGTACCACTCTGTTGGGAGCTGTTGATGGTGGGAGATGCTGGCGGTCGGTCGGTGGGTGGGGAGATACGGGAAATATCTATCTTCCCCTTAATTTTGATGTGAACCTAAAACTGCTCTAAAAAATAAAGTGTATTTTAAAAAATGACATTCAAATACAATGTTGGGAAATTAGGACTAGGAAACAAGTATTTGCTGGAGTCTGAAGAAGAATAATGTACAAATTATCTGGAAACTAATTTCTGTAGAGACTATTTTCTGTCCATTGTGAATCAAAATGTAGTCTCTACTGAAGAGAGATTGGAACGAAGTGAGCAACTCCAGTTTTCAGGATTTTTTCCCTAAAATCCCAGCACTGAAAAAAATGAAAGGAGGGAAACTTAAGAAATACTGTATGGATCTAGATATGTTGTAAGAAATAGTGATAATAGTGAAATAACGTTTATATAATGACATGGAAATATCTTGTAATATTTTCTGCAATAATGATAATTTTTCATGTGTACCCTCCTTACAGTGTTTAAACATATCAGTATTCCTGGTTCAATTCTAAATCTAAAGCTTTACGACTTTTATTGACAATTCCAGTTGCCGTTCCAGTAGCAGAGTGAAGTTCCCCCCAGCTGAAATAATTAAAAACTATCTACAAACTGTAATGACTCAGGAAAAGTTGTCTGACTTGGCACTATTGTCACTACCACACAAGTATGTGAAAATCTTTATTATTATCAACATAATGA